TCGGTTTACTTTTTTTGAAACTTAATTTTTTAAGTTTGTTGAATTTTGAAATTCTGGTTGCTAGTTCTTGGCACCAAAATTTTGCATAATTGTTCTTGTGTTCTTGATTGTTTTTCTTGCAATTTTAGTTGTTTGATTCATATTTTAGCATTTTGGACAGTTGTTTAGTGTTATTACATTGTGTTAATGTGAATTGTGATGTGTTGAAATTTTCTAAAACAATAGATCCATCCATTGCTTCATGTCTTGGCTAAAACTCATCTAACTTGATTTAATTCGTTATTATGCTTTAGGATGTTAGATTTGATAATTTCTTAGAGTCTTAATTCTGTTCTAGCAAGTGTTATTGGCTGTATGTTTTGTTCCTTATTTAGTTTTGTCTAAATCATTGTTAGGTGTTGTTAGTACCTTGCTGAAATTAGTGAATAGCTGGCTGAATTAGTGCTATAATTCTGTGATTGTGAAAAGAAAAAGAAAGGAAAGATACAAGAATATTGAAAAGAGATAGTATAAAAAAACGAGAAAAGGAAGAGCAAAAGCATACAAAGAAGAAAAAAAGGGAGAAAGTTAAAACTGAGAACTATATGTTGTGTATTTCATGCATGTTTTTGCATGATAACATGTTCATAGTGGCTGTTTGTGAATCATTAAATTGCAAGGCTGATTGTATGCTAAATTTGATCAAGTGAGTTGCATTCTAGAGTTCTAGGATTTTCCTTTTTTGAGTGCTAACTTGTAAAGGTGTCTTAATCCTAGCTTGTTATGATTGAATTCCATGTTTGTCACATTTAACTCGCTTTGAGTTTAGCATTCATTGTGATTAAACCTTTTCTTGCTTGTCTTCATTTGGATCCTAAAGTTTTGTCTAGTGGCTGCCATCTTATACTATTGGAATTGGATTGTCTTAGCTTGAATCACATGGTAGCATATTAGACGATGAACTAGAACTTAGACCTTAAGCTTCTTAGGAGAATAGCATTTTGAGAAATTAAGAGAGTCTTGAGAAGTATACACGTGAGGAGAGGAGCATACCACAAACATTCACACACCAATATTATATCTTGTGAATTTACTAACATTTTGTGTGTTTCTTGTGAGTACCATTCTCGGCCTTAGAGGAGAACACTATCAAGTTGAAGAATTGTACACAATCCAAGAGCAAAGCCTTGTAAATTCTTACAATTTGGGAGGCTGTTTTATGATTATATACACTCCTTGTATTTGGAGTTTTTACTTGATTTAGTGAGATTTTTCTTTTAAGTAAGTAGAATTAGTGTAGTAGGATTTTAAAGCTTTTTAATTTGGACTTGAACTATGAAATTTGGTTAATTAGTTTCAGACTTTAAAATCATACAATTATCACATTCACTTTCAAATGTCATCATGCATGCAAGACATATGCATATGCAAACAATCAGATATTCAAATTCACAATGACATCAAACATCACTAGTAATGATGAACTTTATTCTCACAAATGTCCTTGTTAGACACAATAGTCATCCTTCTTTTCTTAGAGACAGCTTGGACTGAACTTACCCACTTGCTTTCAATGGAGTTTATGATCCCTACATCCAGCAATTTCATCACCTCCTTCCTCACTAGTTCCTTCATGGCTGGATTTAACCTTCTTTGTGGAGGTGGAAGGAGTTGCCCCGACTCTCTGCTGGTATTCACCAAAATCTACTCTAGCATCTTGGCAAAGCATAGTAATGATAGAGGGAAAACTAAGTGAATCTCCTGTAACACCTTAATTTAAATTTCCAAAATAAATTTATTTCATGATAGATGAGAATAAATAAAATTTCATTCAATTAGTTCCTGATGCATAGTTCAATAAAGTATTTCAAAAACAAGGGAGAGTTACAAGTTTGCATCAAATAAATGCTACAGAACCAAATTAATACATCAAATTTTCAAAAATTAATTTTCTAAGTCTTATTACAGTTTTATCCCTCCCGTTCACTGAGTTCAGTGCTGATCTTCTTGGTCAATTGAAAAATGAACGTAAGAATGAATACTTTACACTATCACACACAAGTACAAAGACTCACCTTGAAAGTTTCACAACAATTGCTAATATGATAAAATTACGTTCAAGCATCAATATATTCTTTTAGACAATAATCCCACATATTTACACATCAATTTACTCACAGGTGCGCTCACTACACCCTCAATCATTTTACACACACACGTGCGCTCACTATGGATGGTCTCAACATCAGGGACTTACTCAGTTTCACACTATGAATGGTCACCAGATAGCTCTCACTCCACAAATACAACGTTAATGGGGTGAAATCAATCTCTTTACCCCTCACCATAGTGTGTTTGTTAGGGAGAGTGTCGCCTTTGACTCTTATGGTGTTGGTATAAAATTCCTGAGTAATTTCCTTCCACTCATTTCCAGCACAGCTAGTGAAAAGATCTCAACCCCTCTTTTGAATCTCCTCTTGGAATTACGGATAACTACCTTCTTGAATTTCAAAATTTCTATCATGCACTATTTGTCTTCTTAGAATATTGGCCTTGAAGTAATTTTCATAGGCCATGAATAAGAATCTAGGGTCATTTGCAGGTAGAGGTCTAGATGAAGATGCTCCAACAGTTCTAGCTCACTTGGCTCTGAGGTGGTCTTCCTTGGAGTATTCACTATGATGCTGCAGAGAGAGAAAGAAATAATGAGTGAAATATGCATTAAAGTTAGGCAGTAATGTTGTATATCAAGATGCAGTGGAAGTTATTAATGTGTAGTAATGGCAGTTTCAAAGTTGTTCTAAATTCTCAGTGAAAATGCATATTAGAATGGATGTTGTGAGGAAGTGCAATATCAAAGTAAGTACTATGCTTAATAAAAGTAATTACTTTATGGTTCAGGCATGATAGCTTTAAAGCAGCAATATTGACACAAAACATTCTCACAAGTACAAGTGGCATGTTAGGCTATGTGCAAATGATATTAGGGAGGTGGATGACAGTTCTGTAGTGCTGATCTAGTGAAAGGGAAGTGTAAAGAGAGGACTATACTTCCAAAATAGTTATACAATCCAAACTATTCTATAACATGTGCATGTGAAAGTGATTGGTAGAGTGATGACTATGGAATGGTGTTCTACCAAAGTGAGAACTATGTTTAAGTGAAAGAACTACTCAAAATGTAGTATGACAGACCACTTATGCAGGCAAAATAGATACAGATCCCCTTAAAAATGCAAATGAAATGCCAATTATGTACAAAAAGTACCAGGCAAACACAAAAAGGAAAATTCTAATGCAAAATTTATGGAAGTTAAGCAATCTTACAGACAGTGTAATAAAAGAATCAGCTAACTTAGATGTGCAGTGGCCACACAGCTGCTCAGTTAAATCACAATAAAAAAACTTGGAGGCACTTGCTCAGGTAAACATTAATACACATTTGATTCAAAAAAGCTAGAGAAATGCAATTTGTACAATAAGAATTTATTGCAAATGGAGAAGTATATTGCTGAAGTGAATACTATAATGAATGATAGTCGCTACTACGAAGTTCAAGCATGTTGGAGCATAATTATCAGAGATGTGTGGCTACTAGCATAAACATAGATTACAGTACATTGTGCAGTATACATACAACGGTAGTGCAATTCAGAGTAAGTTTAACAAGTTTACACACACATAATGCACAGTCATAAATCAAAATTCACAACACCAAGTGCTAACTTTCATACATGATAGTAACTACCATAGGGTCTACATATGCTAGAGTGAATCAAACCAGAATTTTATGTAATTTAACCATGGAGAATTAAATTTTAGGGTAACATGATAACTATTTACCTAGAATGATCTTAGAATAAGCACTGTCATATCAGAGAGTTCAAAGCAATTACTATGGCATATGAAAGTGACTACCGTAGGGTACAATCATGACAAAATGCAGCAAATTAACTCAAATAATTATTCTCATTGCCCTTCAATCATGTAATCAACCCAAAAATCACAAGTTTCATGCAACAATTTGAACATAGAAAGCCTTAGATCAAAAGCCCCAATTTGTAATGCGAGAAACCCTAACACAGAGAGTAAGAGAGTGAAAACTTACATGAATTGAGGTGTAGAATCAATGGAAATACGAAGAGGAGTGGTGGTCTCAATGCAACAAATCAAATGTGAGGGAGAGAGTGCAGGGAAAATCGAGACTGAGAGGGAAAGTGCTCAGATAGTAAGAGTGAAAGTGAGGGAGAAAATGGGCACTTTATACTATTACAAGCGATAGTAACTACTACAGGGGCGCTTAAATTCAAAACTGCTTGATAGGCTTACGCGTGACTACTATTGCAAGCGATAGTATGCATCACTTGTGTTCAAAAAGTGCTCTGCGTAGCTACTGTTATTTTCAATAGTATCCATTACAGAGAGCGCTCATCTGTGTAATGGTCAGAGTGTCTGCGCGTAGCTACTATCATAAAGGATAATAGACACACGCATTCCAATTAGCCCAAAAACAAAAGTGATCACTACAAAAAGCAAGGTCACATACCTATGTTGAAAGTAGCTACTATAACTTAGGAAAGTGGTTACCTTCATAATGGACTTTCAATTTCTTCTCTAAAGTGACTACCTTATGTTGTGGAAGTGGTCACTTCTCCACTGTACTTGGACTTTCTTGAATTTTTGCAAAATTTTAGTCTAAGAACTACAATGTCTTGCTGAAAGATTAAAATTATGCAATAACACATGTCAAATGAAAAATTTCATGCATAGTGAAGTGGCTGTGCAGCAAAATTTATGCAGTAAACTCATCAATTATCACAGCTCAAATGCAAGACTATTATTGAATGCAGAAGAACAACTAAATTTTTTTATCTAAATTGTGAGTTGTCTCTCACAGAGCGCTTCTTTAATGTCACTAGCTTGACGTATAAAGTGAATTACTCATGACAAGGGTTGTGGTTGAGGTCTATGATAGAGGTGTGCAGATCAATCTCCTCAACCTCCTCTAAGGGATGTGAATTTTACATGAAGTGTTTTAGACGATGGTCATTTACCATAAAGCTCTTGTAAGTGGAATCACTTTTGATTTTCACTACACCATGAGGAAGCACCTTTATAACTGTGAATAGACCTATCCACCTTAATCTAAGCTTTTCTGGAATGAATTTGAGGCAAGAATTGAACAAGAGGATCTTTTGACCAACACAAAATTCTTTCCTAGATATCATCTTGTCATGGTATCTTTTAGTCTTTTTCTTATAAATTCTTGAGTTCTCATATTCCTCTAACCACAGCTCCTCTAATTCTTGCAGTTGCAACGTCCTTTGCTCTTTAGCTGAGTCGTAGTACAAATTACAAGTTTTCACTGCCCAATATGCCTTGTGTTCTACTTCAACTGGTAAATGACAAGTTTTTCCATAGATAACCCTATATGGAGACATGCTGAAGGGTGTCTTAAATGCAGTCCTGTGTGCGCACAATGCATCATCAAGTCTACGATTCCAATCTTTCCGGTGGGGCTGACCGATTCTCTCAAGTATCTTCTTTATTTCTCTGTTAGATAGCTAAGCTTGTCCATTGGTCTGTGGATGGTATGCAGTGAAAAATTTGTGCAGAACTCCATATTTTCTCAATAGGATCTCCATTGTCTTGTTGTAGAAGTAACTTTCTTGATCACTAATGATGGCTCTAAGGATCTCAAACCTGCAAAATAAGTTGATACAAACAAAATTTGCACTAACCCTGGCATCATTAGTCCTAGTGGCCTCAGCTTTCACCCATTTTGAGACATAATCAATAGCAAGTAATATGTACAAAAAATCAAAAGATGATAGAAAGGGTCCCATTAAGTCAATACTCCAGACATCAAAGATGTCAAAATATAGTATAGGCTATTGAGGCATCTCTTGTTTCCAAGTGATCATTCCTCCTACTCTTTGGCATCTTTCTCATGTGGAATATGTTTGCCAAGAGTCCTTGAAAATTGAAAGCCAATACAGTTCTGCATCTAGCATTTTCCTTATTGTCCTCTGAGGTCCAAGATGACATCTTACAACTGAAGCATGGTAGAACTGTAGTATGGATGTGATTCCCTCATCAGATACACACCTTTTGATGACTTAGTCGGTGCAAAACTTCCACAAGTAAAGGTCATCTCACATATAATGTTTGGCATCACTCTTAATTTTTTGTTTTTGAGTCCTTGGTGCATTTGCTAAAAAAACTCCTACAGCTAAGAAATTAATAATGTCAGCATACCAAGGCACTTGTGAAACATACAACTCTAAGAGTTGCTCATCAGAAAAATCATCCTTGAGTGGAATGGGTTTAGGGACTCCCTCTATTCTGCTCAGATGATCTGCTACCAAGTTCTATGATTCACTTTTATCCTTGATCTCCAAGTCAAACTCTTGTAGTAAGAACATCCACCTTATGAGCCTTGGCTTGGAATTTGTCTTTTCCAGCAAAAACTTCAAAGCAGAATGGTCAATGAATACCATAACTCTTGAACTTAATAGATATGACCTAAATTTATCTAAAGTAAAGACTATGGCCAATAATTTCCTTTCAGTTGTGGTGTAGTTACACTGTGCATGGTCTAGGGTTCTAGAAGCCTAATAAATGACATGAGGGATCTTACCAACCCACTGTGCTAAAATAGCTCTCACTACATAGTTTGAAACATCACACATCAACTCAAATGGCATCTTCCAATTTGGAGGTTGAAGAATAGAAGTTGTAGTCAAGGCTCTCTTTAGGAAGTCAAATGCCTCTTCACATTTTTCATCAAAGTTGAATTCAACTTCTTTTTGCAGTAGCTTGGAAAAAGGGATGACAATTTTTCAGAAATTCTTAATAAATTTCCTGTAAAATTATGCATGGCCAGCTAATCTTTCTAACATCTAATCAATGAATGACAGTGGGAAATGGTCCTTCCTTGTCACCTACTTTATCCTTCTATAATATATACAGACTCTCCAGCTGTTTTCAACCCTTGTAGGTGTCAGCTCATTCCTTATCACAGTGAGTCCAGATTTATTTGGAACCACTTGGATCGGGCTAACCTAAGTGCTATCTAAGATGGGATAGATGATTCCAGCCTGGAGTAGCTTGGTGACTTCTTTCTTCACCACTTCTAATATGGTCGAGTTTACCTTCCTCTGAAGTTGTCTCACTAGTTTAACTTCATCCTTTAGTAAGATTCTGTGCATGCACACGAGGGGCTGATTCTAGGAATGTCAGCTAGTGACTAGCCTATGGCTCTCTTTGATGGTTTTTGTACTATGCATGAGCATGTTATTGAAATGACCAATATTACAGCAAGACTTAAGTATTTAGGAATGAAAGTGGATGAGAATTTCCTTGTGCAGTTCATTTTGAACTCATTACCATCTAATTATGGTCCATTCCAAATGAACTATGATACCATGAAAGATAAATGGAATGTGCATGAATTGCACAGTATGTTAGTTTAGGAGGAAACAAGACTAAAGAACCAGGAAATTCATTCCATTAATCTTATAAGTCAAACAGCTAGTAAGATCTATAAGCTAAAGGCCAAGAAATTTAAGAAGAAAGGACCTACTAAAGCTGAACAGGTCACTGATGATAAACAAAAGGGAAGAAAGAAAGATAAATGTCACTTTTATGGTAAAGAGGGACATTCTCAGAAAGATTGTTTGAAATGCAAGACATGGTTCGAAAAGAAAAGTACATTTAACCATTTTGTATGTTCTGAACTAAATTTTGCTAAAGTTCCTTCTAATACTTGGTGGCTTGATTTTAGTGCTACAACTCATGTTTCCAATATAATGCAGAGATTTCTTATGATCCAAACCATAAACCTAAATGAGAACTTTTCGTTCATGGGAAACCGAATGGAGATCCCAATTGAAGGCATAAGGACTTATCGTCTTATATTAGATACCGAACACCATTTGGATCTAATGCAAACTCTATGTATCTTCAATTTCTCGTAATTTAATTTTGGTTTCAAAACTTGATATTAATGAGTTTACTTTTACATTTGGACATGGTTGTTTCAGTTTATTTAAACATAATTTCGTTATTGGTTCTGGAATTCTTATGGATGGTTTATATAAATTGAAACTTGATGTTTATTTCTCTGAATCTTTGTTTTCTGTTTACCATAATATTGAAAATAAACATAACATAATAAATGAAAATTCTACTTACTTGTGACATAAACGTTTAGGACATATATCCAAAGAAAGAATAGAAAGATTAGTAAAGGATGAAATTCTTCCAAATTTACATTTTACTAATCTGAATGTATGTGTGGATTGTATCAAAGGAAAACAAACAAAACACACAAAGAAATGAGCCACAAGAAGCACACAACTTCTTGAAATTATACACACCAATATTTGTGGACCTTTTGATGTTAATTCCTTCAATAATGAAAAGTACTTTATCACCTTCATTGATGGTTTTTCACGTTATGGTTATATCTATTTGTTGCATGATAAGTCTCAAGATGTAAATGGTTTAGAGATTTATATTGAAGGAGTAGAAAGACAATTAGATAGAAAGATGAAAATTATTAGGTCTGATCAAGATGGTAAGTTTTATGGAAGATATGATGAAAATAGACAACATCCAAGTCTATTTGCTAAATTTCTTGAGAAACGTGGTATTTGTGCTCAATACATAATATCAAGTATACCACAACAAAATGGTATAGCAGAAAGACATAATAGAACATTAATGGATATGGTTAGGAGTATGTTAAGCAATTCGTCTTTACCCAAGTCATTGTGGATGCATGCTTTAAAAACTGCTGTGTATATATTTAATAGGGTTCCTAGTAAAACAGTTTCAAAGACACATTTTGAACTGTGGACAAGTAGGAAACCTAGTTTAAGACATCTTCGTATTTAAGGATGTCAGACAGAAGTAAGAGTTTATAATCCACAAGAAAAGAAACTAGATACAAAAACAATCAATGGGTATTTCATTGGTTGTCCAGAAAAATCTAAACGGTATAGATTTTATTGTCCTACCCATAGTACTAGAATTGTTGAAACTGAGAATCCTCGGTTCATTAAAGATGATGAGATTAGTGGAAGTAAAGCTTCACAAAATATAGAGATTAAAGAAGTTAGAGTACGAGTTCCTATAACTCATACTTCTATTGTTCTTCCTAATATTGTTGAATCGCATAACAATCAAGAAGAACAACAAATTAATGATCCTGAGGTTAACAATGAATCTATAGTAGAAAAACCACAAGAAATAGTATTAAGAAGATCTCAAAGAGAAAGAAGACTTGCTATTTCGAATAATTATGTGATATACCTACAAGAATCAAAAAATGATTTAGGTATTGGTAATGATCCAGTTTCATTTTTAGAAGTCATTAATTGTGATAATTCTGATCAATGGTTAAATGCTATGAAAGATGAGCTTAAATCTATAAAACATAATGATGTATGGGACCTTGTGGAGTTGCCAGAAGGGTGTAAGAAAGTTGGTTGTAAGTGTATCTTTAAGACCAAACGTGACTCTGAAGGCAATATTGAATGTATAAGGCCCAACTTATTGCCAAAGGATTTACTCAGAAAGATAGCATTGACTATAAAGAGACCTTTCCACCAGTCTTTAAGAAAGACTCTCTCAGAATTATTATGGCATTGGTGGCTCATTATGATTTAGAGTTACATCAAATGGATATGAAAACTACCTTTCTAAATGAAAATTTAGATGAAGAAGTTTATATGGACCAACGAATGGAGATCGTAGAAGAAGGAAAGGAACATATAGTGTGTAAACTTAAGAAGTGTCAATATACGAACTTAAGCAAACTTTTCGACAATGATATCTTAAGTTTAATGATATTATTACTTCCTTTGGATTTAAGGAAAACATTGTTGATCGGTGTATACATCTAAAGGTTAGTGGGAGTAATTTTATCTTTTTGATCCTGTATGTTGATGATATCTTGCTTGCAACTAATGATTTTGGTCTTTTAAGTGAAACAAAAAAGTTTCTCTTTAATAATTTTGATATGAAAGATATGTGTGAGGCAATTTATGTGATTGGGATAAAAATATTCCGTTATAAATCATAAGGATTATTGGGTTTGTCTTAGAAATCATATATCAATAAAGTATTAGAGAGATTTAGAATGAAAAAATGCTCAATATCTCCAGTTCCAATTCAGAAAAGAGATAAGTTCAGCCTTATGCAATGTCTAAAGAATGATTTAGAACGAAAACAGATGGAAACGATCCCAGATGCATCTGTTGTTGGGAGTTTAATATATGTTCAAACATACGAGGTTAGATATCAGCTTTGCAGTTGGTAGGTTGGGGAGATACCAGAGTAATCTAGGATTAGATCATTGGAAAGCTACAAAAAAAAGTCTTAAGATATTTGCAAGGAACAAAAGATTTCATGCTTACGTATAAAAGATTTGATCATCTTGAGGTGATTGGATATTCAGATTCAAATTTTGTTAGCTATATGGATACAAGAAAGTCTATGTTTGATTATCTATATTTTTCAGTCGAATGAGCGATATCATGGAAGAGTGTGAAGCAATCAATTATTGCTGCATTCATTATGGAAGCTGAATTTGTGGCATGCTTTAAGGTCATGGTTCAGGCTAAATGGTTGCAAAATTTTATTTCAGGACTTGCAGTAGTCGACAATATTGCCAAGTCGCTGAAAATTTATTGCAATAATTTTGCTGCTGTCTTCTTTTCTAAAAACGACAAGTATTTGAAAGGTGCTAAACATATGGAGTTAAAATACTTTGTCATTAAAGAAAAAGTTTAGAAACATAGAGTGTCAATAGAACATATTAGCACAAATCACATGATTGTTGATCCCTTAACGAAAAGGTTATCCCCTAAAGTATTTATAAATCATGTTAAGAGTATGGGTATTATGTCAATTGATGAATGTTAAATGACATTATTATTTTTGAATGTTTGACGTTTTGAGCTCATTATTGTTTAAATTTTTGAATTTTCTATTTTCTATGTATGTGCATGCAAATAATAATATAGAAAATAGATTTTGTCTTTGATATAGATAGCATGAATCCATTATGTTAATCCCATTATAAATTTTTTATTATATAGACTTATAATTATAATTTTGACCATAATATTTTTTTATTGGTCTTTTATTATATTTAAATGAAAAATATTGTATATTTTAAAATATAAAAATATAATTATAATTTTTTTTGTCCTTTTTACACAGAAGCTATCTTTTCTTATCAACTAGAGAGTGGACAAGGGATTGAGTTCATAATATGATTAATTTTCTTAAGGAGTTTGATGAATTCTCTAGCTTCAACATTAATCTTGATAAATCTAACAATTAATGCAACCCAAAAATATAAACCAATTTGAAGATACTAATTATATTCCAAAAACCATCACATATCCAACATAACTTATTTTTAATTTATTTCAATAAAAAAATTTTAGTATGTACATTTTTTCTTTTAAATCTTTTTAAAAAATATTCTGAATATACTAATTAGTATTTACTAATAATTTAACCTGTACAAATTAACATATACAATTTACTTAAAAAGAGGAATGAATTAATTCAATAAATTAAACCTATTTGACACATACGATCATATCAAAATAATTCAACCCAATTCAAACTAATCTAGTTTATTTTAAACCCAAGTCACATGGTTAATTCATAATACACATATTATATATGTACGCCATATGAATTTGAATTGGGAATTAGCCTTTGAAAACTGTGTCGACTTCATCTAAACGTATTTTGAAATGCAAATAAAATGTATACTTTTTTATGCTCTGATTTACCGTCAGAACATTTAAAATCAATTCTTCAGAAATTTAAAATAAATCAAGTCCATTCATCGTGTTTGGTAACTCACTTTTTGACAAATTACATACATTAATTTTAAACTTAAATAAGTAAATAATTTTTAACGATATATATCTTTTAAAATTAGTGTTTATAAAATTTTTTAATTGATTTTAATTATGTAACTTTTTGTAAGTAGTCTATATTGTTAATTAAGAGTTGTTAAATAATAATTAAGTAAATAGTGTTCGGCGTATCACATAAAATTCTAATTTCATAGGTAATACTAAAATAAGTAATTAGTTTTAAAAATATTTTTTTTAATTCTTTTGCTTTTATTACTATGGTGCAAAGAATGTATATTTTTTATTGTTCAAGAAATTAAGTATGAGAAGAGGAAAATAATACACAATGATCGAAATAGTAATTTAATTTATGAAGAAAATGACTTTAATAATGTTTTTAAACTAAGATATACACAAATGATATTCATAGTTTGTTTGAAAAAAATTATATTGGATAAAAATGACAGGTTGAACTTCAAAAGTATTAGTATAAAAAAAAATTAAATAATTTTAGTCAAAGACAGCAAGGTTGTTTACATCGAAAGCAATTCTTTGACAGAGGAAGAAAAATTGTTGTATTATCCAAATTTGTTAAAAAAAATAGAAATATACATAAGTTCAAAAAATATAAATAATTTTTTTATCTTACACAATACAACTTTTCTACTTATTTTTTTAAAAAAAATTAAAAAATATATATTTTAACATTAAATAAAATTCCTTCAAAGAGTGTTCTTAAGATAAAGATGAGAGGTAAAATTCTTCATAAATAAAAACATATTTACTTATCTTAAGAAAACTAATAATAAAAAAATTAATTTTAGAGACAATATTTACTTAGTTAAGTTTATTTTAATTGGATTTTAGTTTTTAGAAGTGGAACAAACTGGCTGTAGCCCAATTTCAAAAATACAAATTAGAAAATGCAAAATTGAAATCTTTATTGTTTAAAATTGTCGATTTTGATATCCTCAAAAGACAATGCTTCACTCAATTCACAGAAGACAGAGCTTCGATAAAAGTTTTGACAACCACAAAGAGTTCCTTTGCTTTCAAAGGCTGAGTGTCTTGAATCCCATGATAATCCCCCGCTGTGAAATGTCCCACAACTCTCACACCCTCTCTTTGCATATACCTCACTAACTGCGCTTGACGATCCACAAGTGGGTCACCGCGACACCCGGTAACCAGTACCCACCATCCACGATGTTTGATCATTTCCACTCTCTTCCCACCATTCCCCGCCGTCGGATTGCAATACTCGTGATCACGGTCAACCCCAACCGGTAACGACAATTCCCACAACGCATCGTTATTACACAGTGACAAATGAGGCTCATTCGCAAGCCTCAGCTCCGAACCCGTCCTGTGGGTCCCACTGAAAAACGGTTGCACCAAAATAAGCCCTTTGATCTTAAGCTCTTGATCATCATCATTGGCCGCAGCTACACGTAGACCCGCGTTGTAGGCTATGTTTCCTCCCGCACTACTCCCCATGAGATAAACATGGGAATAATCAGCGTAATTTTTCAGCCAATCATCCACTTGGTTGGTTTTTATCCAGTGTAGCGCCTCCACGGCATCCTCGTACGCCGCGGGGAGTCTGTGTTCCGGTGCGAGACGGTACTCTACGGACGCAACGATGGCAGCGACGTCGTTTGCCATGTTGAGGCAGAAATCGTGGAAAATCGTCGAGGCCGCACTGAGAAATATGAACCCGCCCCCATGGAAGAAAACCACAAGGGGGAGTTTGGAGCTGTGATCGAGTGCTTTGCGGGGTAGGTAGATCCTCACCCACGTGCCTTTCGATTGGTTAATGGTGTGGTCTTTGGAGAGTACGAGGTTGGGGGTGGTGGGATCGGGGGCGGGAGGGCTCTCTGGGGGTTTATTGGGGCGCGTGACGGTGCCGTTTGGGTTGAGGATAAGGTTGAGTTGCTTGTAAGGGTCGTTATTGCATGAAGTTGGAGATGGGGTTTGGAGTGTGGTTGAGTTTGCAATGAAGAGAAAGGTTAAGGAAAATGCAAATGCAATTGAAGTTCTCCAAAAGCATTTGGAGTTTGATAAAGAAAAGAGTGGCATCGTTGATTTTTTAAAACTAGGATGGAAGAGGGAGAGAAGCTATCCATCTCCTCATTTAAGGGGAGAAGAAACAATTCTTCATATCCTTCATCTGGATTTGGATAAAGATTGATTGATGGACAGTATCCCGAGGTTAAAATTATCACAATTTTATTATAAATATAAGGAAACTATTCATTTCAAGATTTTAATTATTTTAAAATAGGAAATTTTTTATTAAAAATATTTAACATATAGAAGGTATAAAAGATATTTTTTCAAATATTTTAAATTAACCATAAAAATAATGATAGCCAAATCACCAATGTAATTCTCATTGAAAATATTTTTTTAATTTTATTTTTAGTGTCTATATTTTTTTTTTGTTTTAATGTGTGATTTTTTTGTCATATTTCCCTTTTTTTTCAATTTACATCATTATAGTAAACCAAAAGTGATATTTTTTGTAAGATACGGTTTGGTTCAATGAATTAAAGATGGAGGAAAAGTTGTTGTGTAATAATGATGAGCCAATAGTTGATAATTTGTCTTCATTAATATGAAATGCTTGCATACAAAGTCATGCCAATCATTTGTAAATTACTGTGTTAGTAAAATATTTTATAATCTAAAATTTTAAAATGCAGGATGAATCCATTGGTTGATATCATTACAGTTCAAACAATATACGCAATAACCTTTTGTCCTTGTCTTTCCCCATGTGCTCGAATTGGACAAGCTTTGTTGTTTGTCAGGTTTTGGTTTAATAATTTCACCATTTATAAATGTGCTAAACGTCAATTGATCTATGGCATGTTAACAGAGTAGATGAGGTTCATAATAGAGTAGTGTTTTGTTAAAAGGGCACAATCTATATGATGTTTAGTTGAATTTTCAATTCAGGATAACATACCTATAGTCCAAAGACTATTTTGTCACTTATTTTTTTGTATTTAATAATTTAAGAAGGTTACACCATTTAGAAATTGGCCTTAAACTTCTTTTTTTTCAAATAATTGTTGAAGAGTATCAAACTATCATAGGACGATGAGTCTTCGGATTCTCAAAACAAATTATTTTAGAATGATTCCCTTCAGAGTTCAGACAGAGGGAATATTTTAGTATGATCTTAAACTATTTTTTAAAATTAACCCATCTAAGATTGAAGCAGAAATTTTAAATATGCTATCATATAACTCAATTTGCTTGATGTGAAAATTGCAATTTTGTTTTAAGTCGATATTTATTTTTGAAAAAATCTGAATTTAATTATTATGAAAAAAAGAAATAGAAATAAAGTGTTTTAAGAAATAAAATAAAATATTATCTTGATAAAATAAAAAATTAGAAATAATTTTTTTAAAAAATAAAATATTATAAATAATTAAAATCTTAAATCAATGTTATTTTATACATGAAATGGGAAAATTTTAAATTTTTAGCTTTTTATGAGAAACTCTAACATAGAAAGAGAGAGAAACCACGGAGAAGGGGCTAAAAAAATTTAAAAAATAATTTCTTTTTTTTTAAATATAGTGAAGGAAAAAGAGAGAAAAACAAAACAAAATAAAGATAAGATTTCAATAGTTTCAAGTTATGCATTATATAAATTTTGTTGACATATTTATATTTTGAATGAATATTTTATATATCAAGTCAATCCTAAAATATTTAAATATTAAAAAAATATTTATGAACTGTCATCGGCTACCATGTATCACTACACCTCTTTCATCAATTACCATAAAAGTTTTTCTTTCACCATCATTTATCTTCTTTATTTCTCCAAACTCTACTACCTTCAACCACCTTAATGAAATCTATTTTCTCTCCACCAGTTCTTCTCTTTTTCAAACCATACTCCCTTCGACCACTCAAAATTCACTTATCTTTTTCCTCCAAACTACTACTTTCAAGCATCCAAAATTCACCACTCTTCTGCCCATCATTTTTTCTTTTTCTTTATCTATTATCCCCCATGCACAAAACCTATCATGGAAGTTTCTCACTCACTTTTTTTCCTTTTTCTCCTTCTCTCTCACATTAACCTTTACCATCAAAATCATAGCCTCCATCAACATCACCTTCACTTTTTCATAACCCTATTTTGTTGGAGAAAAGCATCTTGTAACTCATCCTAAAATTTGATGTTCTTTAAATTTAAAATTTTCAAAATTTAGATTTTTGCTCTTTTTGTCTAATTTTTTTTTATTTTATCTAAAAATAAGGTTCTTATTATTTTATTTATTTTTATCTTTATTTTTTGGTATGTTTTATTTATATTAGCCTAGCTTAAATAAAAATGCTTAATTTCTTATTTTTATTTATTTATTTTAATTTAGTTCTCTTGATTCTATTTATTAATTTTTTTAAGTAACAATAATTAGAATAGTTATAATAAGGGATTATTAAAATTGACTCAATACAATAAAATTTTATATTTTATTATATTATATTTGAATTATATTTTTATTTGTAAAATTTATCTCATTTTAATATTAATAATAAATTTTCTCTAATTTTTCATATAATTTCATTGTTTATGTCTTAATTATTATGTTGGTTATTATCTTTTAATATTGTTATCTTTTGTGTTATTTGTTGTATACTCGTAGAATGTTGATTTTATTTTATTTTATACTTATAATTTACTTTCTGTTATATTATGAACTGTAAATTACTTTTTTTTTATAATCAATAAATAAATAATAATATAATTACATCAATTTATAATACTAATATATAACTTTTCTATTGTCATGTATTATAAATTGATAAAGTTTATGTATATCTACGTTATCAAAATTTTATGAAATATTAATTTATTAGTCTTTAATTAATTAGATAATTATCTTAATAATTAATTAAAATATTTTCTTCCTCTAATTACTAATTTACTAATTAATCAATTTAAATTAAAATTATTTTATTAATGCAATAATTTATCACACTAATGTGCAGTCACTCTACCTTACGCATTTTAGATTGTCAAAATTCATGAGTACCAACGTTATCTTAAGTTTTATACATTATCAATATATTTTTAAAATCTTTAAATTTGACTTCTAAAAGTAATGAATTATGTAATTGTTTTTATTTAATTAAATTTATCATCTAAAACATTCTCCTGATTAAATTATTAAGTAATATAAATTGGTAAAATTCAATCATATTCATCTCTAGTTAATCATGTATGTATCACTATTACTTTTATTTTTATTTTCATGATTAATTAAAAACATATCTTCTAAAATATTTCTCTATTATAAAATGTAATTCATTTGTATATTTATTAATTAATAAAATTAAAATATTTTTATCATATTAGTGCAGTGATTTACAACATTATTGTTTAATATCTTTACTTTTATATACTTTAAACTATTAAAACTTTTATGTATTAACGTTATCTTGAGTCTTATGCAATCTAAATTTATTAAATGAAGTTTTAATCTTTTTATTGAATAATTATCTTTTTTAATAAATATATATTTATTCCTTTCATTAAATAGAATTAACTTCTTACTTTAAATTTTTTTAAGAAATATTTCTAATTTTGATAAATTAAATAAGCAACATTTGATTACTTAATTTTATTTTTTTCATTTTATTATAAATTTTAACAACATCGATGTGTAATTTACATTACTTTTAATTATACAATAAATTATAAGATATTTATGTATAGCTTATGCTATTTTAAATTCTTTTTTAATATGAATTTTTAAATTCAAGTACAAATTTAAATTTTTTATTTACAAATAAAAATAATTTTTTAATTATTTTTAACATAGTTATGTGATCTCTTATCATATTTTATATTATTTATCATAATCTTATAAAAATAGTTTAATCTAAAAAAAACACTTTCTTTTATTAAATTTAATTTTAATTAACTAACTTTAAAAAATTTTATTACAAAATTACGTGACTTTAAGTTTTTCATTATACTTAGGATATATAATAGTAGAAATTTGACTCATCAAATTAAAATAATTTTTTTAAAATATTAATTATTATTTTAATAAATAATTTTTTTTCAAATATACAAATAGCAAGACGTATTGTTGGGAGGTTAAATAATTTGTTTTAAATTAAAATAAATTTATATACTTAAAGTAAGTGTTATTTAAATAAACTTGCAAAGTTAATTCTTTGGTTGCACGAATTCTAAACTTATTTTTATTTCAAAAATGATAATGTTTTATTTATAAAGATGTTTTTCCAAATACGATGTACCGTTCTGTTGCAACACTTAAAATCAAAGAAAAAAAAGTGAAAAATGGAAGAACATCTATTCAGGTCTGTATCCATCACAAAGTTCTTCTTATATGTTCTTCCTATTTTTTTTCATTGTCTTCTCTTAAATCTGACTAGAATAAATTATCTAATAAAATATTTGAAACATGCTTCCATCATGGATGGATTGTTTTTGCAAATAGTCAGGGAGATTCCACAAAATTGTCTTTTCTTTCTGGTTTCAGTCCACTTAAAGTTTTAAATATCAAAATAAAGAATAATAATAAAATTAATTAATCTAAATCGATGTGCTTAGAATAATGCTTAAAAAATTTGAAAATAATTTTTTTTAAAAAAAGTTATATTAAAATACATTTGAAATCATGAAAAATAAATATTCTTTATTTTTTAAAAACTTCACTAATATTTAAAAATATTAGTTATCCCTTTTAATCTCTAAATTATAATGAAATAAAATCACATGATACAAGAAGATGACTTGTGTAACGCATGCAAGAGTTAGGGTAGATCCAAAGATGACATAGTGTTTGACATTTCAGCATCGTTACCGTATTTTACTAACGTCACACACTATTATTCTCTGTTTTTTTTTTTTAAATAATTTAATTTTATTTAAATAAAAATAAAATTTTTGATTTCCTCCTAATTCTCTTCCTACTCTCCCAACTCTATCTCTCTTCTTTCCTTCCTACAATCTTAACTCCTTTTCCTTTTATAATCTTTGGGAAAAAATTTAATTTTTACTTAAATAAATTAAGTAAATTTAAATTTATTTTAAAAGAAAACCTAATACCCATGAATTGCTTGTCCATGTCCGATAATCTTTGATAATTTTATTTTATTATTATTTAACCTTTCCGAAAAAGGT